CTGCTTTCCCTTCAAAGCAGAAATGATCCTAAGCTGGTGCTCCTGGCAGCCTTTCAGTATCAGGGTTGTAAGAGCACTTGAGCTTCAAGAGCCCATTTCTCCAGGTTGAGTTTCTCAGTGTTTCCAGGGAAATTCCCCCTCACAAAAACACATCTTGCTGTCTGAGTAACCACCAGCATCTCAGACTCAAGTCCTGTTCATTGAAAGAACAAGTTCAGCCCTAGCAGGGAAAGAACCTGTTCTCAGCACCTCAGGTTTGACCATAATAAACATCCAGGGCCAGCTCTTCCCTGCAGTGCTGGGCAGGTGTGGAATTGGCACAAATTTGGTGCCACTGGTCTGTGTCAGCTGCTGCTGGGCTGCCCCTGCATCAGAGGCTCAGGGGACAGTGACAGCACATGGGGACCATGAAGGGGACCATGTCCCAGAAGAGAGGACTTCCCTGCACACACCTTTAGTGTCTTTTTGCAATGAGTTGCAGCTAACTCCTTTAGCTGCTGGAGTTAATTGTGTTTGTTAATGATTTTTTTCAGCTTTCAAAACAAAAATCCTGTATTCATCTTTATGCCTTGCTGTTGCTATGTAGGCAGTCCTTAGCACATGTTTGTGCATGCAGGGATTTAATTAAAACCTTAATAACTAAATAATCACCACACAGTCTGGGCGTCTGTGAGATAGCACTGTGGGGACATTTCTTGAGTTCCTCAATTGCACACCACATTGCTATGTGGTATTTTTGATGCTGGCTAATCGTACTCCAGCATTGCTGGTGAGCTGTTCATAGATTAGGAGGCAGCTGGAGCAGCGAGCCCAAGAGCAGTGCTTTGCTCAGGCACTGTTTGAGGCATTTCCTTTGATCGTGCCACACGTCCTAGAGACCAAGACTAAAGTATTCACATTACGGTGCCTGAAGTGAGTTGCCTGAACAGAAGTGCCCTGATTACTTTTCCAGAGATACTGAACAGAGAAAACTGGTTTTTAAAGTTTTCACGCTTTGCAGTGTCTCTCACTGGGTGGCAGTCAGTGTTTTGGGCATTGATTTGTCCTGTGGGTTGGGTGTTTAGCAGAGAGGAGGCCTCTCCCCACGTGTCTTCTACACTTAGCTGCAGGGCAAATTCCCACTGGACTAAATTCCCACTGGACTTCTGCTTTTGTGTGGAAATGTCCCATATCTGTCACTTCCACCCCGTGCCAGGTGCACATGCTGGTCCCCTCATGGCTCAGGAAGGTCCCCTGGGGGCACTTGGGCTCTGTGCCCAGCCTGGCCTTGGCTGCGTGGGCTGGCTCGGGAGTGCCAGGCACCCTGTGCAGGGCTGTGCTGGGAATGGGGCTGTGCTGGGAATGGGGCTGTGCTGGGAATGGGGCTGTGCTGGGAATGGGGCTGAGATGGGAATGGGGCTGTGCTGGGAATGGGGCTGTGCTGGGAATGGGGCTGTAATGGGAATGGGGCTGTAATGGGAATGGGGCTGAGATGGGAATGGGGCTGAGATGGGAATGGGGCTGTGCTGGGAATGGGGCTGTAAGGGGAATGGGGCTGTAATGGGAATGGGGCTGCTCCAGGGAATGGGGCTGCTCTGCCTCCACTGGCAGCACAGCAGTGACCATTCCAGAAGTGGCACAGCCAGAGCCTCGTGCCTGTGTGTCCTCTCTTGGCTGAGCATGGCCAAGAGACCTCGGCCCCTTGGCTCAGCCCTCCCATGAGGGGCAAGAGGGGCCACACCACGGTGCACACACAAATACCTTCTGGTGTCTTTTCAGAAAAGAGCTGAGCGAGTATCTTGGTGTGAATGGGTG